AGTAATCAGCATGAACATTACCTGGCAAGACAACTAAATCTCTAGAAATCCAATGGTGTCAACCGTAAAGTGATATCTGTAGCCGTTTTGGAGTTATATCAAGTTAATGTGATACAAATAGAAATTTTGAGGATTTTAACCGTATCAAACTACCTTACTTTGATGGGTATTTTCTCAGCTCAATGAAATTGGTCTCTTTACTGGTTAGAACTTTCGTAAGAGCAATCCGGGCCCAAACAATGCCTCCGTTGACTCTTGATTTTGTTCTTAATTTTTGAGAAGTGGATATTTTCTAAAAGTGACATCAGCTGATATATCGCTCTATAGATATTAAGCGAATCGAGTCATCACCCTTAAAAGTACCCAACAGCACAAAGAAATGTCAAGGAATCTAGTGGTGTAAATCTTAAGGCGGTGTCTGCAGCGGTTTTGGAGTTACCTCAGGACACAAATGGAAAATTTGAGCTTTTCAATATTATCAGGCTACCTAATTTTAAGGCTTCCTTTCGAGTAATCAGTCTGAAAATTACCTGACAAGACATTTAAACCTCAAGAAACCCAATGGTGTCAACCGTAAAGTGATATTGCAGCCGTTTTGGAGTTATATCAAGTTAATGGGACACAAATGGAAAATTTGAGCTTTTCAACAGTATCAAGCTACCACACTTTAATGGGTCTTTTCTTAACTCAGACAACTTTTTCCCTTTACTAATTCAAATCTCCGTAGGAATAATTCGGACCCAAACAATGCCTCCGTTGACTCTTGAATTTTTTCTTAATTTTTGAGTTGTCGATATTTTCGAAAAATGACATCAGCTGACATATCTGTCTCTAGATATTAAAGAATCGAATAATCAGCCTGAAAATTACCTGACAAGACAACTAAATCTCAAGAAACCCAATGGTGTCAATCGTAAAGTGATATATGTAGCCGTTTTGGAGTTATATCAAGTTAATGGGACACAAATAGAAAATTTGAGAATTTTAATTGTATCAAACTACCTTACTTTGATGGGTCTTTTCTCAACTCAATGAAATTGGTCCCTTTACTTGTTAGAACCTTCGTAAGAACAATCCGGGCCCAAATAATGCCTCCGTTGACTCTTGGCTTTTTCTTAATTTTTGAGTTGTCGATAATTTCGAAAAGTGACATCAGCTGATATATCTGTCTATAGATATTAAACGAATCGAGTAATCAGCCTGAAAATTACCCAACAGGACAAAGAAAAATCAAGGAATCTAGTGGTGTAAAACTTAAGGCGCTGTTTGCAGCCGTTTTGGAGTTACGTCAAGTTAATAGGACACAAATGAAAAATTTGAGCTTTTCACCAGTATCAGGCTACTTAACTTTAAGGGGTGCTTTCTTAGCTCAGCGAATTCTTCCTCTTTACTAATTCAAACCTTCCTAGGAATAATCCGGACCCAAACAATGCTTCCGTTGACTCTTGAATTTTTTCTTAATTTTTGTGTTGTCGATATTTTCGAAAAATGACATCAGCTGAGATATCTGTCTCTAGAAGTTATGTCAAGTTAATGGGAGACAAATAGAAAATTTGAGGTTTTTAATCGTATCAAACTACCTTACCTTGATGGATCTTTTCTCAGCTCAATGAAATTGGTCTCTACTGCTTAGAACCTTTGTAAGAACAATCTGGGCTGATATATCTGTCTCTAGACATTAAAAGAATCGAGTAATCAGCCTGAAGATTACCTGAATTGTTTGTTGTCGATACTTTTGAAAAATGATATCGGCTGATATATCTGCCTCTAGATATTAAACGAATCCAGTAATCAGCCTGAATATTACCCAAAAGGACAAATAAATCTCAAGAAATCCAATGGTGTAAACCGTAAAGCGATGTCTATAGCCGTTTTGGAGTTATGTCAAGTTAATTGGACACAAGTGGAAAATTTGAGCTTTTCATTCATGTCAAACTACCTCACTTTAATGGGTCCTTTCTCAACCCAATGAAATTGTCCTTTTTACTAATTCGAACCTGCATTAGAAGAATTCGGGCCCAAATAATGCCTCAGCTGCCTTTTGAATTTTTTGTTACTTTTTGAATTGTCGATACTTTAAAAAAATGACATCAGCTGATACATCGGTCTCTAGATATTAAACGAATGGAGTAATCAGCCTCAAAATTACCCAAAGAGACAAACAGATCTCAAAAAATCCAATGGTGTAAGCCGTAAGGTAATATGTATAGCCATTTTGGAGTTATATGAGGTTAATGGGACAGAAATGAAAATTTGAGCTTTTCAAACATGTCAAACTACTTCTCTTTAATGGGTCCTTTCTCAACCCAATGAAATTGTTCTTTTTTCTAATTCGAACCTGCATAAGAAGAGTTCGGGCCAAAATAATGCCTCAGCTGACTCTTGAATTTTTTGTTAATTTTTGAGTTGTCGTTGCTTTAAATAAATGACATCAGCTTATATATCGGTCTCTAGATATTAACCGAACTGACTAATCAGCCTGAAAATTACCTGACAACACAAATAAATCTCAAGAAATCCAATGGTGTAAACCGTAAAGCGATGTCTATAGTTGTTTTGGAGTTATGTCACGTTAATGGGACAGAAGTGGAAAATTTGAGTTTTTCAATGATGTCAAACTACCTCACATTAATGGGTCCTTTCTCAACCCAATGAAATTGTCCTCTTTACTAATTCGAACATGCATTAGAAGAATCCGGGCCCAAATAATGCCTCAGCTGACTCTTGAATTTTTTTTTAATTTTTGTGTTGTCGATACTTTCAAAAAATGACATCAGCTGATATATCGGTCTCTAGATATTAAACGAATCGAGAAATCAGCCCGAAAATTACCCAACAGGACAAAGAAATATCAAAGAATCTAGTGGTGTAAACCTTAAGGCGGTGTCTGCAGTCGTTTTGGAGTTACGTCTGGTTAATAGGGCACAAATGGAAAATTTGAGTTTTTCAAAAGTATCAAACTACCTAACTTTAAGAGGTCCTTTCTTAACTCAGCGAACTTTTTCCCTTTACTAATTCAAGCATTCGTAGGTATAATTCGGAACCAAACAATGCCTCCGTTGACTATTGATTTTTTTCTTAATTTTTGAGATGTCGATACTTTCGAAAAGTGACATCAGCTGATATATCGGTCTATAGATATTAAACGAATCGAATAATCAGTCTGAAAATTACCCAACACGACAAATAGATCTCAAGGAATCCAATATTGCAAACCGTAAAGCGATGTCTATAGCCGTTTTAGAGTTATGTCAAGTTAATGGGACAGAAATGGAAAATTTGAGCTTTTCAATGATGTCAAACTACCTCACTTTAATCGGTCCTTTCTCAACCCAATGAAATTGTCCTTTTTACTAATTCGAACCTGCATTAGAAGAATCCGGGCCCAAATAATGCTTCAGCTGACTATTGAATTTTTTCTTAATTTTTGAGTTGTCGATACTTCCGAAAAATCAGCTGGTGCATCGGTCCTTAAATATTAAACGAATCGAGTAACAAAACTGAAAAATACCTAACAGGACAAAAAAATTTCAAGAAATCCGATGGTGTCAATCCTAAGGTGATATCTGTAGCCGTTGTGAAGTTATATCAGGCAAATTAGACGGAAATGGAAAATTTTAGTTTTCCAAACATGTCAAACCACTTTACTTGAATGGATTCTTTCTCAACTCAGTGAAATTTATTCCCTTTACTAACGCGAACCTCCCCATGAAGAATCTGGACCCAAACAATGCCTCTTGAATTTTTTTTTAATTTTTGAGTTGTCGATACTTTCGAAAAATGACATCAGGTTATATATCGATCTCTAGATATTAAACGAATCGCGCAATCAGCCTGAAAACTACCCAACAGGACAAAGAAATATCAAGGAATTTAGTGGTGTAAACCATAAAGCGATATCTGTAGTCGTTTTGGAGTTATGCCCGGTTAATTGGATAGAAATGGAAAATTTGAGCTTTTCAACCATGTCAAACTACCTTACTTTAATAGCTCCCTTCTCAACTCAGTGAAATTACCGTCTTTACTAATCCGAACCTCCGCAAGAAAAATCCGGGCCCAAACAATGTCTGCGCTGACTCTTCAATTTTTTCTTAATTTTTGAGTTGTGGATATTTTAGATATTAAACTAATCGAGTAATCAACCTGAAAATTACCCAACAGGACAAAAAAATTGAAGGAATCTAAAGTGTAAACCTCATTTGCCAAAATCAGTCTTACCTTGGCAGATACTAGCCCCGCCCACCCACCCTCTCTTTTCTTAGAAAGTTTCTCATTTGCCAAAATCACTCTTATCTTAACAGGAACTAGTGCCTCCTTTTCTTAGAGGATATGCCATTTGCCAAAATCGATCTTAGATAAGCAGGTACTAACCCCGCCCACCCGCCCTCGATTTTCTTAGAAGAATCTCATCTGCCAAATCAGTCTTATCCTAACAGGTACTAGCCCCGCCCACCCACCCTCTCTTTTCCTAGAGGGTATGCCATTTCCCAAAATCAGTCTTATCCTAGGTAGTAGCCGTTTTGGAGTAATGTTATAGTTAGTTATGGGACAGAAATGAGAAATTTGAGCTTTTTAACCATATCAAACTACCTGACTTTAATGGATCCTTTCACAACTCAGAGAAATTGGTCTCTTCACTAATCTGTACCTCCCATTTTCCTGAAAATTTGAGAACACAATATTGTTAATACGTGCCCTTTGCAGCTGCAATTTGTACAACTGCACATTAGAGGGGACCGACCAACTTTCTTAATTTTTAACCAATCACTGCCGAATTTTTTATAAATGTTAGATATCGATTTTCCAACATACCATAGTTATCAGCAACCTCAATATAGGAACATGAAGCTTCTATTCGTGTTACTTATCAATTGTTTCCATTTTTTGCCTTTATATTGTCATTTAAATGTGTTTGTAGCGTTATTTAATTTCCTAACTCTATGCTTATGCAACCAACTATACACTTTTCAGCGGCATCACCCCCTTCGTCTACGACGTGATCCGCCGCCTCAAGCGCTTCTTCCACAACTTCTCCGGCAACCTCGGCATCCCCCGCTTCCGCCCCCAGCGAAGCCGCAAGCCCGTCTACTGCACCTCCGAGGACGAAAGCTTCGACTTCGAGCCCGAAGCCAGCCCTGGCGACATGCCGCCAACCACCGACACCGAATATACCTACACCTACCGCTGACCACGTGACCGATTGCATAAACAAAATTGACATGTGAAAAAAAAACATGTAAAGTTTGTTTTAATCCTTAAATAAAAATTATGTCTTGTAGAAACTTACTTAAACTGTTCAGTACCGCCCCAAATTTATACGCAAGTGCACGCGCGACCCCGGCGCTAGCGCGAAACGCTTTGAGGTTATGTAACCCGCGGCCCCCGAGGCGTTTTTGCGCCGGAAAAGCGGGAGTCGCGCTGGGGGTGAGTCTGTTGACGTGGCTGGGCTTCCGGGACGAGGACAAGGACAAGGAGTCGGAGTTGATTATGACGCTGAAGAGGGCGGTGTTGTGTACGAAGCGGGAGCAGTATGATAAGGCTGAACAGATGCTGCACTTAGCGCTGCGACTGGCGCAGCAGGAGCAGAATCACCAGGGGGTTATTTATTGTTTTGATTTGATGGCGAATTTGGCGATGGATCGGTTGCAACTGGACAAGGCGGAGAAATTATTCGTTAGTGTTTTGCAGTTGTTGTTGGGGGATGGGGTCAAAGAAAGTGACTTAAAAGTGAGGAGAGGAATGAGTGGTTTCGTTGCAATAATGTCAATTTTAGGTTATTCATGTTAGTTTGAAATTGGCGCGAATTTCGCAGTTGAAGGCTGACATTGAGAAGGCTCAAATGGGGTACATGTGGTGTTTGGAGAATATTGAAAAGCAGAAAAATGATAGTGTGGATGCGGAGATGTTGTATGGGGTGATTCAGGACTGGTATGCGCAGTTTTTGCTCGATGTGGGGGACGCTCCTAAAGCTGTGGTTCATTTGAGTGAGGCTTACAATGTTTGTAAACGTACCAAGGGCCCCAATAGTGAACAAAGTATGCTCTTGTTGAACGATTTGGGGACGACGAGCTTCAGAGCAGGTGATATCGAGAGGGCTCAGGGGTACTTAAAAGAAGCCATTTCAGTGGGGCAGTGCGTTGAAGATAAATCCCACTTGGGGGTGGTCCATGCAAATTTGGGTCTGATTTTGTTGCAGAAAGGGGTTGCCAAAGAAGCCGAAATTTATTGTTCAGAGGCGCTAAGACTAGGTATTTCATAGCAATTTTAATTAAAACTTTTGATAATTTTATTTAATTTTAAGGAAAAAAACACGAAAATAACGAATCCGTGGAGCAAGCGAAGTACTGTTTCGACCAAATCAAATTGGCTTTAGGAAAATAATTTTATTTAATGATTGGAATTGTAGAAATAAATTGTACGACAATAAGTACGAGGACACATTCTATTACATATATCGTTATAATCACTCATATTCGGCAATCAACACCATCATAAACACCCCTCCTAACATGGCGGCCACTTGCAACATAGTTTGTACTAAACTCGGTTTTTCTTCATCTAGTAACTCAGGAATCACAGACACCAAAGCGATATAAATAAATCCCCCAGCTGTAAAAGGCAGAATCCACTGCGTCCCCAACTCCCCGGTTGTGTTCTGAGCCAGCAGCGAAATGGCGGTTCCTGCAATAGCCCCCAGCGCTGTCGTGAGTTGCAGCAACATGGCGTTCTTTCGAGACACTCCAGACTGGAGCAAAATCGCAAAATCCCCAATTTCGTGAGGGACTTCATGCAACAAAATCGTGATAGTGGTAACCAACCCGACGGTATTCCCCGCCAGATACGACGACCCAATAGCCAACCCATCGGTAAAATTGTGACTAAAATCGGCCGCGAGATTCAAGTACCCAGCCACTTTAATCTCCTTCTTGTCTTCGTTTTTCTTGTCTTTTTTGTCGTCGTGCTTCTTATCCTTCTTTTTGTTGTCTCCCGCTGCCGCTTCTTTCTTGTCCGGCTTCTTGTGGCTGTGCCCGTGCCCCCCTTTGGCAATCCGGACGCCTTTCTCCACCACCAGGAAGGTCACAATACCGGCCAACACCCACAGCCCGACTGACATATCATGCGCGTGCTCATCACCGTGGGTTCCGTGCGAGTGGGAATGCGAATGGCTCTCCACCGACATCGCCGCATGAGGAATTAAATGCAGAAACGCGTCCCCTAATAACCCCCCGGACGCGAAAGCCAGCAAGACTTTCAAAAGGGGCTGCTCTTTGTCGGTGCTGTCCAGAGGCACGCAGAACAAGATGAAGAAGGGGGCTGCACTGATCAGCAACGTGGATCCCATTGCTTGCAGCCACAATTCGGAAGTGGTGGTGTGATGTTCGGGTTTTGGCGGGTCGGCGGCCCCGGGTTTCGGGGGCGGGTGATGTTCGTCGTGTTTTTCGTTGGCGGCTCGGGAGTATTTGAACGCCGGCGGTTCCTCATGGCCGTGGCCGTGGTGGTGATCGTGGTCCCCGTGGTCCGCGTGGTCGTGTCCACACGCGAAACAAACGAGGATCGAAATAACAAGCAACTGCGTTTTTAGCATTGTTGACTCGGTTGGCGGCAAGACGTGAATTTTGGGGCCAGCGGCGCTTGGAAAATAAAGAATACGGAAATGAGGGGGTGAACAATTGAATTAACCGGCGGCGGCACACATCGTCATCAAAAAGATGACCGAGCTGTCAAGAGTGTCAAGTGTCAAACGGGGCGTGGGGGGACAAGGAAGAGCGCCGACAGAGGGCGCCACTTTTTTTCGGTTTCGTGACCTTCGTGACTAGTTGAAAACAATATTAATAATAATAATAATAATATTTATTGATTTCAACAGGAAGAAACCCCAACTACAGAAACCAAATAAACTAAAAACAAACTCCTACAAAAAATAACTAGAAAATTGACAAAAAATTAAGTAACCTTCAATAATGTTTAGCAAGTTAGCAGAGATCAAAATCAAATAAACCGCCGAATTTTACAATTTTAAACATGAAAAAACGGCAAAATATAAGCCCCGCCCACCCACCCTCGTCTCAAATCTGATGATTTTTTCATGCATTGTCAGACCGAGGGGCGGAGCCTAATTGCAAAATCCATATTATTGTCTACAAACAGCGGCGTCGAATTGACTTGGGACCAAAATTTCAGCTAGATTTGAGCATTTTGACTTTTTTTATAGTCAAATTTTGAGAATTTTCTCAGAAGACACAGTTCTTGTTGAAATTTGCTCCACTTGCTAATTAAAACCTCCTGAACAAGAATCTCGCCGCAGATTTGCTCCACTTATATTACGCCACTTTTTTTTTTCTAAATGAGAAAAGTCCGAGAAAGTTGATGCAATTTTCGAAGAAATAAAGGCAAAAATGACTTGTGCAAGCGAAATTTTCAAAAACAATGCTTCTAGGCCATTTTCAAAGGATAGTCCATAGACGGTCTTAAAAATTCACTTCAACAGTCATTGAAAAATGGTTTTTTGAAAATTGACCTAAAATCCTCAAAAAATTCTGGAAAATATTTTTCGATGAGTTGATTCCAATAATGTAACATGTTGATGGTCTCGCATCAATATTTTCAAATATTCAGTTTGAAAATGGAATTTTTTAATTATTTCGAAAACTGCCTCTTTTCATTTTATCGATTCTGGAAAAACTGATGGAATTTTCGAAGAAATGAAATCGAATGTAGCTTTTACAAGTCGAAATCTTCAAGAAAATGTCGTTGGCTAATTTTCAAAGACACTGTCAAAAAGTTCAATTCAAAAGTTATTGAAAAATTCAGATTTTTCTCCTTCTTAAAAGTCGTCAAAAAATTGTGGGAAACACTTCGATGAGCTGCTGATTAAAAAAACATAACTTGTTCATAGTACCAGACCAAGATTTTCGAGAATTCTCTTAGAAAATGAACCTAAGGGCGGAGCTTATTTGTAAAATCCATACTTGCAAAATCCTTATTTGTCCACAAAAATTTGGCAATTTCAACAAGTTTTTTGTTGTGAAAAGAAGACTACGAATATTAAGAAAAACAAGGCAAAATGCAAAAACTTGTTCAAAAATGGTTAATTTTTGTATGTAAATATGGATTCTGCAGTTATGCTCCTCCCTTCCGTCTGAAAACGAATAAAATTTCCATCACAATTTAGATCGGGGCGGGTCTAGGTGAAGCTTAATCTTTGGCTTCCGTTTTTACTTAACATATATAGTTAGTTTCCTTGTACACAGTTACTTAAGAACTTGTTTCACTGGTAATTTCTTGTAGAAAAGTAAGGATTTGGCAATTAAGCTCCGCCCCCGGCTCGCGACAAATAAAAAACATCATCACGATTGAGATAGGGCGGGTGGGTGGGGCTTGCATTTTGCCTTAATTTTCTTAACATCACAGTCTTCTTTTCATAACAGAAAACTTAAAACTAGTTAAAAATGGTAAACTTTTGTAGGGAAATATGAATTCTGTCATTATGCTCCTCCCCTCGACTTGAAAACGAATGAAATATTCATCATAATTTAAATCGGGGCGGGTATAGGTGGAGCTTAATCTTTGGCTTTCTTTTTTACTTCCATTCTGCCTTGATTTTCTTAATATCGTAGTCTTCTTTTCATAACAAAAACCTTAAAACTTGTTCAAAATCGTAAATTTTTGTAGGGAAATATGAACTCTGTTATTATGCTCCTCCCCTCGACTTGAAAACGAATGAAATATTCATCACAATTTAAATCGGAGCGAATTTAGGTGGAGCTTAATCTTTGGCTTTCTTTTTATTTACCACATACAAGTTTTCTTGTACAACATAGTTACTTAAGAACTCGTTTCATTGGTAATTTCTTGTAGAAAAATAAGGATTTTGCAATTATGCTCCGCCCCCGGCTCACGACGAATAAAAAACATCATCACGATTGAGATAGGGTGGGGCTTGCATCTTGCCTTGTTTTTCTTAATATCATAGTTTTCTTTCCGCAACAAAAAACTTGAAACATATTCAAAATGGTACGTTTTTGAAGGGAAATATGGACTTTGTCATAATGCTCCTCCCCTCGACTTGAAAACGAATGAAATATTCACCACAATTTAGATTGAGGCGGATATAGGTGGGGCTTAATCTTTGGCTTTCTTTATTATTTAACACACATATAATTTCCTTGTACAATATAGTTACTTAAGAACTTGTTTCACTGGTAATTTCTTGTAGAAAAATAAGGATTTTGCAATTAAGCCCCGCCCTCGGCTCACGACGAATAAAAAACATCATTACAACTGAGATAGGGCGGGTGGGTGGGGCTTGCATTTTGTCGTGTTTTTCTTAATATCGTAGTCTTTTTTTCACAACACGCTAATTTTCAAAGACACGGTCAAAAAGTTCAATTCAAAAGTTATTGAAAAATTTAGAGTTTTCTCCTTCTTAAAAATCGTCAAAAAATTGTGGGAAACACATTTCGATGAGCTGCTGATTAAAAAAACATAACCTGTTCATAGTACCAGACCAAGATTTTCCAGAATTCTCTTAGAAAATGAACCTAAGGGCGGAGCTTATTTGCAAAATCCATACTTCTCAATAAAAATGCACGATTACACTGTTTTAATCATAATTTCAGTTTCTTGTTGGGAAAAGAAGACTGCCTATTTTAATAATAATAATAATAATAATAATAATAAGGTTTATTCTCCAACGGGACAAGCCCAATTACAGGAAAATTATAATAACAACATAAAGTATAAAGGTACAACATAAATAAAATTCTACATATAAACACTAAATAGGCTGTAACAAAATACAACGCATATCTATTATAAACCGAAGGCAAAATATAAGCCCCGCCCACCCACCCTCGTCTCAAATCTGATGATTTTTTCATTCATTGTCAGACCGAGGGGCGGAGCCTAATTGCAAAATCCACATTTGTTCACAAAAATGTGTCAATTTTAACAGGTTTTAAGTTTTTTGTTGTGAGAAGAAGACTACGTATATTAAAAAAAAAGCAAAATATAAGCCCCGCCCACCCACCCGCGTCTCAAATCTGATGATTTTTTCATTCATTGTCAGTCCGAGGGGCGGAGCCTAATTGCAAAATCCATATTTGTCTACAAACAGCGGCGTCGAATTGACCTTGGACCAAAATTTCAGCTTGATTTGAGAATGTTCACTTTTTCTATAGTCAAATTTTGAGAATTTTCTCAAAAGACACAGGTCTTCTTGAAATTTGCTCAACTTACTAATTAAAACCTCCTGAACAAGAATCTGGCTCCAGATTTGCTCCACTTATGGCGTAATATTGACTTTTTTTTTCTAAATCAGAAAAGTCCGAGAAAGTTGGTGCAATTTTCGAAGAAATAAAGGCAAAAATGACTTCTACAGGCGAAATTTTAAAAATTAATGCTTTTAGGTCATTTTCAAAGGATACTCCATAGACGGTCAAAAATTCATTTCAACGGTCATTGAAAAATTGATTTTTTTGAAAATTGACCTAAAAATCGTCAAAAAATTCTGGAAAATATGTTTCGAAGAGTTGATTCGAATAACGTAACATATTGATGGTCTCGGAGCAATATTTTCAAAAATTCAGTTTGAAAATGGAATTTTTGAAATATCTCGAAAACTGCCTCTTTTCATTTTATCGATTCTGGAAAAATTGTTGGAATTTTCGAAGAAATGAAATCGAATGTAACTGTTACAAGTCGAAATCTTCAAGAAAATGTCTTTAGCTAATTTTCAAAGACACTGTCAAAAAGTTAAATTCAAAAGTTATTGAAAAGTTCAGATTTTTCTCCTTCTTAAAAATTGTCAAAAAATTGTGGGAAACAATTCGATGAGCTGCTGATTAAAAAAAAAATAACCTGTTCATTGTTCCAGACCAAGATTTTCGACAATTCTCTTAGAAAATGAACTTAAGGGCGGAGCTTATTTGCAAAATCCATACTTCTCTACAAAAATTCACGATTACACTATTTTAACCATGATTTCAGTTTCTTGTTGGGAAAAGAAGACTGCGTATGTTAAGAAAGAAAGCAAAATATAAGCCCCGCCCACCCACCCTCGTCTCAATTCTGATGATTTTTTTCATTCATTGTCAGACGGAGGGGAGGAGCCTAACTGCAAAATCCTTATTTGTCCACAAAAATTTGCCAATTTCAACAAGTTTTAAGTTTTTTGTTGTGAAAAGAAGACTACGAATAGTCAATTTTTGTATGGAAATATGGGTTCTGCAATTATGCTCCTCCCCCGGTCTGAAAACGAATAAAATATTCATCACAATTTAGATCAGGGCGGGTCTAGGTGGGGCTTTCTTTTTTACTTAACACACATAGTTTCCTTGTACAACACAGTTACTTAAAAACTTGTTTCACTGGTAATTTCTTTTAGAAAAATAAGGATTTTGCAATAATTAAGCTCCGCCCCCGGCTCACGACGAATAAAAAACATTACCACAATTGAGATAGGGCGGGTGGGTGGGGCTTGCATTTTGGCTTGTTTTTCTTAATCTCGTGGTCTTCTTTCCACAACAAAAAACTAAAAACTTGTTCAAAATGGTAAACTTTTGTAGGGAAATATGAACTCTGTCATTATGCTCCTCCCCTCGACTTCAAAACCAATGAAATATTCATCACAATTTAGATTGGGGCGGGTATAGGTGGGGTTTAATCTTTGGCTTTCTTTTTTATTTAACACATATAAGTTTTCTTGTACAATATAGTTACTTAAGAACTCGTTTCAGTGGTAATTTCTTGTAGATAAATAAGGATTTTGGAATTAAGCTCCGCCCCCGGTTCACGAAGAATAAAAAACATCATCACGATCACGATTGAGGTAGGGCGGGTGGGCGGGGATTCCATTTTGCCTTGATTATTTTAATATCCTAGTCTTCTTTTCATAACAAAAAACTTAAAACTTGTTCAAAATGGTAAACTTTTGTAGGAAAATATGAATTCTGCAATTATGCTCCTCCCCTCGACTTGAAAACGAATGAAATATTCATCACAATTTAAATCGGGGCGGGCATAGGTGGAGCTTAATCTTTGTTTTTCTTTTTTATTTAACATATACAAGTTTTCTTGTACAACATAGTTACTTAAGAACTCGTTTCACTGATAATTTGTTGTAGAAAAATAAGGATTTTGCAATTAAGCTCCGCCTCCGGTTCACGACGAATAAAAAACATCATCACGATCAGGATTGAGATAGGGCGGGTGGGCGGGGCTTGCATTTTGCCTTGATTATCTTAATATCCTAGTCTTTTTTTCATAACAAATAACTTAAAACTTGTTCAAAATGGTAAATTTTTGAAGGGAAATATGGACTTTGTCATAATGCTCCTCCCCTCCACTTGAAAACGAATGAAATATTCATCACAGTTTAGATCGGGGCGGGCATAATTGGAGCTTAATCTTTGGCTTTCTTTTTTATTTAACACATACAACACATACAAGTTTTCTTGTGCAACATAGTTACTTAAGAACGTTTCACTGGTAATTTCTTGTAGAAAAATAAGGATTTTGCAGATAAGCTCCGCCTCCGGTTCACGACGAATAAAATAGATCATCGCAATCTCGATTGAGATAGGGCGGGTTTGCGGGGCTTCTATTTTGCCTTGATTATTTTAATGTCCTAGTCTTCTTTTCATAACAAAAAACTTAAAACTTGTTCAAAATGGTAAATTTTTATAGGAAAATAAGAACTCTGTCATTATGCTCCTCCCCTCGACTTGAAAACGAATGAAATATTCATCACAATTTAGATTGGGGCGGGTGTAGGTGGGGCTTAATCTTTGACTTTTTTTTTTATTTAACACATATAGTTTCCTTGTACAACACAGTTACTTAAGAACTTGTTTCACATGATAATTTCTTGTAGAAAAATAAGGATTTTGCAATTAAGTTCCGCCCTCGGCTGACGACGAATAAAAAACATCATCACAACTGAGATAGGGCGGGTGGGTGGCGCTTGCATTTTGTCGTGTTTTTCTTAACATCGTAGTCTTCTTTCCACAGCAAAAAACTTAAAACTTATTCAAAATGGAAAATTTTTATAGGGAAATATGAACTCTGCCATTATGCTCCTCCCCTCGACTTGAAAACGAATGAAATATTCATCACAATTTAGATTGGGACGGGTATAGGTGGAGCTTAATCTTCGGCTTTCTTTTTTACTTAATACATATACACTGAGTTACAAAAAAAGTGGCGCACTAGAAAAAAGTGGTGGTACGTGTTACTGAATTAAGAAAGATAATATTATTTTGGCCTTACTACTATATTTAATTAGTAAATCGTAGTTTTTAGCAAAATAAAGACTTTATTAACAACCTAAATCTTAAATATAAAAAACTCAAAGTGAAATACAATAAACACGTGTCAAAAATACTAGCCCTCCCTCTCACCCGCTCTTTAATTTCTTAGAGGATATGTCATTTATCAACATCAGTTAAAGAATCCATTTCTATGCAATTTCCCATTTTAAATCTTGATTTGGGAAAATTTTGACATTCAGAAATATGACATTTCACGTATGGAGGTGTGTATCTGGTTGCCTAAAATCATGCATTAATGGCCCTTATTAATAAACGATTTTCGAACATAAATCATGCATTAATCTACTCAGTAATAAACGATCACCGGAATCGTTATTTATTCAACTAGTTGGGTAAAGACAGCGATTAACGGTTGAACAATTTTAATTACACGAGCGACCGAAGAGAACGAGTGAAATTAAAAATAGGCCAGATTGTTAATCGCCATTTACCCTACGTGTCGATTACAATATTTTTTCGACGATCGTAATTTTCAAAAACAGCAATTTGAATCATATTTTTAACATTTGTTATGCAACCAACAATACATTGACATTCTGACGCCTTTAGTTTAATCGTTGAATGATGAGATTCATTACTGATCAATTTTGAACACTAAATTTGTTCGTAATTTTCACATTAATAAACGATCGTCGGAAAGAAATATTTAATGTCTCAGAAAAATTGAAATCACTTATCACTAAAAAGCTAGTTACTCAAATCATTTGAATAACAAATTTTGGAAATGAAAACATATTTATTTACACTACAGACACAGTCTACAGGTTTAGTTGAAGGCGTGGAATTCCTGTTTTTTGCTGATAGGTGTACAACTCCCATCTTTTTTAGTCGTGGTTCAAATCCAAACGTCAATTTCTGCGCATGCGCGTTCTTGCAGTTACAAAGCAAAATATTTTTTGAGGTTGTGTTGTGTGCGAACGAACTACAAAAACTCACAATTCTTGAAAGATGTCGGCCCGATATGATAGAGCCATCACCGTGTTCTCCCCCGACGGCCACTTGCTCCAAGTAGAATACGCCCAGGAGGCCGTCCGCAAAGGTTCCACAGCGGTAAGCCCCCTAACCTCAAAATCACAATGACTAGCATTCGTCTCCAGGTCGGCGTCCGCGGGGCCAACGCCGTCGTCCTGGGCGTCGAGAAGAAGTCCGTTGCTAAACTCCAAGAAGAACGCACCGTTCGCAAAATCTGCCTTTTAGACGATCACGTAGTTATGGCATTCGCTGGCTTGACCGCGGATGCCCGTATTTTGATAAACAGGGCACAGATCGAGTGCCAGTCGCACAAGTTGACAGTAGAGGACCCCGTCACGCTCGAGTACATCACGCGGTATATTGCGGGCTTGAAGCAGAAGTACACACAGAGCAACGGGCGCAGACCGTTCGGGATCTCTTGTTTGATCGGGGGGTTCGATTACGACGGGAAGCCGCACTTGTATCAGACCGAGCCGTCGGGGATTTATTACGAGTGGAAGGCGAATGCGACAGGGAGGTCGGCGAAGACCGTGCGGGAGTTCCTGGAGAAGTACTACACGACGGAGGAGGTGGCCACAGAAGCGGGGACGGTGAAGTTGGCGATACGCGCGCTGTTGGAGGTGGTGCAGTCGGGGCAGAAGAACTTGGAAATTGCCGTTATGAGACACGGAGAGCCTTTGGTGATGCTGGATAGTGACACCATTGAGAAGTGTGTTACGGAGATCGAGAAGGAGAAGGAGGAGGAGGCGGAGAAGAAGAAGCAGAAGAAATGAGAACAAGTGTGAACTGTTTGTTTCTTAGGCCGCATTGTGTTAAATATAAATTTTTTCATTAAATATTTTTCAGAAAGTGACTCTGATTTTGCTTATTTGTTTAAATTTTTGTTAACGTTTTTGAATGTTCCAAGGCACTTTGTTCAATTTTTTAAATACTCTTGATTCCAGTAGTGTATTAGGGTTAAATTTGGTTATGAATTAGAACTCTTCATTACCGTTGTTTATGCAAGTCATAATAGTGATGGTTTTTATTATTATTCGGCAATCAGGTTTCCATTGCCTCATTTGAAGTGACCACTTTCACTAATTTCCAAACTGAAAATGGTCAATACACGTCACTTTCGCGGCCGCTTTGTTTTTGGTAAAATTTGCAGGCGGCCATAATTTTTTAACATAAATAACCATTATGTCAATTTTACTTCCTGAGCGTCGGCTAATGTTAAAAGCAGTATGTTCGAAACATGTATTTAAAACTAGGAATAAAATTAGAATTTTTGGTGAAAAAAAATCAAAAATTCCAAAAAATGAAAAGTTTGTTTTTCCAAAAACAATGCATCATTAACAATTATTGGCTAACCGATTCGTGACCATCAACATACTATATTTTTGGAATCAGCGTGTCGAGATCTACGTCCCTGAATTTTTTCATAATTGTTGGACAACTTTTTTAAAATTGAAATTTTTAACGGTCCCACCTCCTTCAAATTTTGCAACAATTTTGACATTTTTGAAACTCAACTAAATACATTTTCTTGTAGATTTCGAGCTCTAGAATTCAAATCCGGCTACGGTTTTTTGATACCTGCAACCGTTTTTCCAGAATCGTCCGTTGAAATTTCGAAATTGGGGTATTTTGCATATTTTTGAAAGTTTAAAAGGACAATTCTGGAAGAATCATTGGAGTTATCAAAAAAATGAATGCGGATATGACTTCTGCGTGTCGAAATCTATAAGAAAAGATATTTAGTGAAATTTCGAAAATTTTGTTGAAAATTGGTCGAAACTTGGGGTATTTTGCATATTTTTGAAAGTTTCATAGGACGATTCTGTAAGAACCATCGGAGATATCGAAGAAATGAAAGCGGATATGACTTCTGGGGCCCGAAATCTACCAGAAAATGTATTTAGTGAAATTTCGAAAATTTTGTTGAAAATTGGTCAAAAATTGGGTTATTTTGCATAATTTTGAAAGTTTCAAAGGACTTTTCTGGAAAAAACATAAGAGTTATCGAAGAAATGAAAGCGGATATGACCTCTGCGGCCCCAAATCTACAAGAAAATGTATTTAGTGAAATTTCGAAAATTTTGTTGAAAATTGGGGTATTTTGCAAATTTTTGGAAAGTTTCAAAGGACGATTCTGGAAAAATCATTGGAGTTATCGAAGAAATGAAAGCGGATATGACTTCTGTGGCCCGAAATCTACAAGAAAATGTATTTAGTGAAATTTCGAAAATTTTGTTGAAAATTGGTCGAAAATTGAGGTATTTTGGATAATTTTGGAAATTTCAAAGGACTTTCCTGGAAAAAACATAGGGATTATCGAAGAAATGAAAGCGGATATGAATTCTGTGGCCCGAAATTTACAAGAAAATGTATTTAATAAAATTTCGAAAATTTTGTTCAAAATTTTTTTTCGATTTTTTTCAAAATGGTCCGAATCGACCATGTGGGGTATCATCGGACGCAGAATCTTCTCTGGATTACGATTTCGTGCTTGGTTTTTATATATATCTTCAAATAAGCGAGAAAAATGCTGCCCCACCATTTTTTTCGAATTTTTTCAAAATGGTCCGAATCGACCATGTGGGGTATCATCGGACGCAGAATCTTCTCAGGATTACGATTCCGTGCTTGGTTTTTAAATATCTCTTCAAATAAGCGAGAAAAATGCTGCCCCACCATTTTTTTCGAATTTTTTCAAAATGGTCCGAATCGACCATGTGGGGCAGCATTTTTTTCGCTTATTTGAAGAAATATTTTAAAACCAAGCACGGAATCGTAATCCTGAGAAGATTCTGCGTCCGATGATACCCCACATGGTCGATTCGGACCATTTTAAAAAAATTCGAAAAAAAAGGTGGGGCAGCATTTTTCTCGCTTATTTGAAGAGATACATTAAAACCAAGCACGGAATCGTCATCCTGAGAAGATTCTGCGTCCGATGATACCCCACATGGTCGATTCGGACCATTTTGAAAAAATTCGAAAAAAATGGTGGGGCAGCATTTTTCTCGCTTATTTGAAGAAATATTTAAAAACCAAGCACGGAATCGTAATCCTGAGAAGATTCTGCGTCCGATGATACCCCACATGGTCGATTCGGACCATTTTAAAAAAATTCGAAAAAAAAGGTGGGGCAGCATTTTTCTCGCTTATTTGAAGAGATACATTAAAACCAAGCACGGAAACGTAATCCTGAGAAGATTCTGCGTCCGATGATACCCCACATGGTCGATTCGGACCATTTTAAAAAAATTCGAAAAAAATGGTGGGGCAGCATTTTTCTCGCTTATTTGAAGAGATATTTAAAAAGCAAGCACGGAATCGTAATCCTGAGAAGATTCTGCGTCCGATGATACCCCACATGGTCAATTCGGACCATTTTGAAAAAATTCGAAATAAATGGTGGGGCAGCATTTTTCTCGCTTATTTGAAGAGATACATTAAAACCAAGCACGGAATCGTCATCCTGAGAAGATTCTGCGTCCGATGATACCCCACATGGTCGATTCGGACCATTTTGAAAAAATTCGAAAAAAATGGTGGGGCAGCATTTTTCTCGCTTATTTGAAGAGATATTTAAAAACCAAGCACGGAATCGTAATCCTGAGAAGATTCTGCGTCCGATGATACCCCACATGGTCGATTCGGACCATTTTGAAAAAAATTCGAAAAAAATGGTGGGGCAGCATTTTTCTCGCTTATTTGAAGAGATATTTAGAAACCAAGCACGGAATCGTAATCCTGAGAAGATTCTGCGTCCGATGATACCCCACATGGTCGATTTGGACCATTTTGAAAAAATTCGAAAAAAATGGTGGGGCAGCATTTTTCTCGCTTATTTGAAGAGATACATTAAAACCAACCACGGAATCGTAATCCTGAGAAGATTCTGCGTCCGATGATACCCCACATGGTCGATTCGGACCATTTTGAAAAAATTTGAAAAAAATGGTGGGGCAGCATTTTTCTCGCTTATTTGAAGAGATACATTAAAACCAAGCACGGATTCGTTATCCTGAGAATATTCTGCGTCCGATGATACCCCACATGGTCGATTCGGACCATTTTGAAAAAATTCGAAAAAAATGGTGGGGCAGCATGTTTCTCGCTTATTTGAAGAGATATTTAAAGACCAAGCACGGAATCGTAATCCTGAGAAGATTCTGCGTCCGATGATACCACACATGGTCGATTCGGACCATTTTGAAAAAATTCGAAAAAAATGGTGGGGCTGCATTTTTCTCGCTTATTTGAAGAGATACATTAAAACCAATTTTGAAAATTCAAATATTTGTCATTTTCTCGCTTATTTGAAGAGATACGTCAAAAACGAATACGGAATCGTGATCCTGAGGAAATTCCGCGTAAAATGACACCCAAAACAGTCGAAAACGGACCAGTTTTGTAAATTCCAAAATTTGCATTTTTCTCGCTTATTTGAAGAGATACGTCAAAAACGAATACGGAATCGTGATCCTGAGGAAATTCCGCGTAAAATGACACCCAACACGGTTGCGCAGTACAGCCCTGCACAAGAGCGGTACAACCCCACCACCCACCCTTCGACGGCACAAGAGCGGTACAACCCCACCACCCACCCTTCGACGGCACCGGGGTGGTACGGACCAAGACAGAACGCACCTCGCAGTACACGCGATCGGTCGACAAACTGTACATACATTTACACACTATTAATATATAGTTATAAAACAACACTCTTTTCTTGCCGTGTTCGTACCGTGTACGACACGGTTATACGGTCCTTCGAACAGCCTGCGGCGCGACGCCACATTTGGTCCTTCGAGCCGGATGAAACAGCGATCAAACAAATCATCGAATTTGGTCCTACGAGCCCGATAGAACAGCGATCAAACAAATCATCGAATCAAGAAACATCAAATCTACAATCCAAGTAAGTCCTATTACCCTGTATGCATATTTATTTCAATCTGCGCCAATCTGCGTGTACCGCGTTCTCGTATATCAATAACGCATAATTCGATTCAAAAAATCCCATTTATTTCATTAAAATGACTGTAGAAACGGTAGCCGAATTACGCTCCAGGCGAGGAATCGCTAAATCCAAAATAACTCGCATTGAGAACTTCGTTAAAAATTTCAAAAATACAGATAGCGTTTATCACCTTGAAGTACGGTTAGAAACATTAGAAAACGTGATCAAAGAATACGAAAGTTATCAAACTCAAATTGAGTTGCAAGACAACGCAGATAACGATCGCGAAATTATTGAGACACAGTATTACAACATAATAGTTGACATTCGGGAAAAATTAAATAAATACTCACCTTCATCGGCGTCTAGTCAAAATAATAGTAATCCTAACAATAATCATCACTTAGAAACGTCCATCAAACTTCCTACGTTAAATTTACCAACATTTTCAGGTTCATATTCGGAATGGCTGTCATTCAACGACATATTTTGCTCGTTAATTGATCAGAACAATAGTTTAAATAACTGCCAAAAATTTCACTATTTAAAATCCTCATTGAAGGGAGAAGCGTTAGCGACAATTGACGCTCTCACTATTTCGGTAGATAATTACAAATCGGCCTATGACTTGTTAAGAAAAAGATACAATAACGTAAGACTAATTACTCAAGAACATATTTTAGCTATCATTAATAGTCCTGTTATCCTTAAAACAAATTCTGTAGCTCTGAGAAAATTATGTGTCGACGTTACGACAAACATTGAAGCACTTCGCATACAAAATTTACCCGTAGAAAGTTGGGATGCATTAATTGTCCCATTAATTGTAGAAAAACTAGACTATACAAGTCGTAAAGAATGGCAGGCAACATTAAATAGTGAAATACCAAAATTGACGGATCTGATTTCATTTTTAGAAAAACGTTGCGAACTTTTGGAATCAATGCAACAAATATCAGTAAACAAAACACATAGCATAGATCTTAATAAACATAATAATAATTTCAATAAAAACTGTCAGCGCGAGTCTACAACAAAACAACGTATTTTGGTACAAACTATTAACAAAAACATCCTTAGGTGTAATTACTGCAAGTCAGAATTGCATTTAATATTTCAATGTACAGAATTCGTAAATCTTTCAGTAGAACAACGCCTCTCTCATATTAACAAGGTCAAATCATGTACGAATTGTTTAAAATCTAATCACATTGTGTCAAATTGTAAATCGACTAATACTTGCAAAAAATGTCACTTACGACATCACACACTGCTTCATATACCTGAACAATCGACAAGCAATTTGTCATTATCAGTGTCACATATGAACAACACCACTGTACTTCTTGCAACAGCAGTGGTTAAAATTGCAGATGCTTTCGGAAATTATCAAGATTGCAGAATTATATTTGATTCATGTTCACAAAGCAATTTAATCAGTACGAGTTTATGTCAAAAATTGGGACTTAAATTACAATCAATCGAATTCCCGATTAGTGGAGTAGGCGAAATCGAAACACCAGTTAAAAATTCGACTAGGGTAACCATAAAATCTCGTTTTAATCCAACTCTTTACAATCTCAATTGTTTAGTATTGCCTAACATCACATCAAAATATCCATGCCAATTCTTTTCAAAATCTCAGTTCAATATACCCATAAATATTAATTTAGCAGATCCTAATTTTAATGAACCCTGTACCGTTGATCTTTTGTTAGGTGCAGAGTACTTTTGGCAAGTAATTTGTAACGGTCAAATTAACATATTTAATAATCAAGTATTCCTTCGTGAGTCCGTTTTCGGATGGGTCTTAACAGGTAAAATTTCCGGTCCTTCGCAGAACAATATTGTCGCCTGTATTTCAAACGCAAATCCCCAAGATATGCTAAACAAAGAAATTCATAAATTTTGGGAATTAGAAGAAACAGCTGTAAACACCAGTAATTCCTTTTCCGTGGAAGAACTTACCTGCGAACGGCATTTCTCAGAAACGGTCAAAAGAGATATTAACGGTCGGTTTATGGTACGCCTACCCTTTAAGAAAGATATTGCCACGCTGGGGTTTTCCGATGTAACCGCCCTAAAACGTTTTATGGCACTAGAAACTCGTTTGAACAAAAATAATTCTCTTAAAGCCGATTATACAAACTTTCTAGACGAATATTTAGCTCTAGGTCACATGAAATTAGTTACAGGTGAATCTGATTTTCACACTAAACAATTATATTTTTTTCCACATCACGCGGTGATAAAGAGTTCGAGTACTACCACCCGAGTGCGTGTGGTGTTTGACGGAAGCTGCAAAACAAGTACGGGTGTCAGCTTAAACAATATTCTAATGGTAGGTCCAACTATTCAACAAGACTTGTTTTCAATCATTACGCGCTTTCGGACCTACCAATTCGCATTCAGTAGCGACGTAGTAAAAATGTATCGTCAAATATGGGTCGATCCTTCAGATACACCTTACCAAAGGATTTTTTGGCGCAAGAGTAGTGACAAACCAGTTGAGGTATATGAGTTACAGACCGTAACGTATGGTACCGCGTGTGCCCCATACTTAGCTATCAAATGTTTACAAAAATTAGCCATCGATGAACAACTCGATTTTCCTCTAGCCTCGACAATTATCTTACGCGATTTCTATGTTGATGACTTGCTTACGGGTACTAATTCAGTCAAAGAAGCCATAGAATTACGCAATCAATTAATTGACGCCTTAAATAGGGGTGGTTTTCAATTACAAAAGTGGGCATCTAATTGTCCGGACATTTTGCCCAATCGTAGTCAAAATAACGATGTAGTTAAATTAGACCATAACGACGAGGTCAAAACACTAGGTTCAACGTGGAATTGCAAAACGGACTGTTTAAAATATGTCGTGGAAACAAAGCCCGTGGAAAATACTACTAAACGATCCATCTTATCAAAAATCGCGAGAATTTATGATATTCTAGGTCTCTTGTCACCCGTCCTTGTTTTGGGAAAAATCTTAATTCAAAAGTTGTGGCTCATTAAACTCGACTGGGATGATCCTTTACCGGAAGATATACGACAAACGTGGCTTAAACTTGAACAAGAATTACCCATATTAAACACACTACAAATACCTAGAAAGGTTGTATCAAATCAATACAATAACGTCGAAATTCATGTATTTTGCGATGCGTCCATGTCGGCTTATGGTGCCTGTGTTTATATCCGAACGTTGGACTTAAACACAAATTCGTACAAAACAGAATTATTATGCGCACGATCACGTGTTTCTCCATTAAAAACTATCACACTGCCTCGACTAGAATTTTGCGCAGCCGTGCTATTAGCCCGCTTAATACACAAATTATTACCTACAATAAATCTAAACATAACAACGCAGTATATGTGGACAGATTCATCAATAGTGTTATCTTGGTTAGCATCATCGCCAAGTACCTGGAACGTTTTCGTTGCAAATCGCGTTGCTGAAATAAGCACATTAACAAGTATTTCTAATTGGCATCACGTTAAATCTGCTGATAACCCTGCAGACATTGTCTCAAGAGGTGAATTACCTAGTAAACTTATTACGTCTGATTTGTGGTGGCACGGTCCACATTGGTTATCAAAAAATAAGTCAGAATGGCCAGCTTCATTCGTTAGTTCAAATGCACAAAATGTACCAATTTTGGTGGTGACCAATGACAACGTACTTCCATTGTTAATAAAATATCACTTAAAACGTGTTGCGGGTAATGCTTTATTGACGTATGAGGAGCTCTATACGCTTTTGACGCAGATTGAAGCATGCATCAACTCCCAATCCCTGACTCCATTATCCTCTGACCCGAGCGATCTCACGGCCTTAACTCCTGGGCATTTCCTCATCGGCGGAAAACTAACAACCTCAGTCGAAGACGATGTTACAATGGTGAAAGAGAATCGTCTGTCACGGTGGCAACGCGTCCAACAACAGGCGCAAAGCTTTTGGAAGCGCTGGTCAGGGGAGTTCCTAAACAAGCTGCAACAAAGAAAGAAGTGGAATCGCACTGCTAAAACAGAGGTGAAGCCAGGACTTCCCGTTCTACTACGCGAAGACAATCTCCATCCGATGTGCTGGCGAATGGGAGTCGTCATGGAGACACATCCAGGAAAAGATGGGATCGTCAGGACAGCCACCATCAGGACATCATCGGGACCTGTCGTGCGGGCCACAAACCGAATCTGCCCGTTCCCCATCGACGACGACACCCAGGTTTGAGACCACAGGTTCAAGGGGGGCCGGAATGCGCAGTACAGCCCTGCACAAGAGCGGTACAACCCCACCACCCACCCTTCGACGGCACAAGAGCGGTACAACCCCACCACCCACCCTTCGACGGCACCGGGGTGGTACGGACCAAGACAGAACGCACCTCGCAGTACACGCGATCGGTCGACAAACTGTACATACATTTACACACTATTAATATATAGTTATAAAACAACACTCTTCTTGCCGTGTTCGTACCGTGTACGACACGGTTATACGGTCCTTCGAACAGCCTGCGGCGCGACGCCACAACGGTCGAAAACGGACCAATTTTGAAAATTCAAATATTTGCCATTTTCTCGCTTATTTGAAGAGATACGTCAAAAACGAATACGGAATCGTGATCCTGAGGAAATTCCGCGTGAAATGACACCCAAAACGGTCGAAAACGGACCAATTTTGAAAATTCAAATATTTGCCATTTTCTCGCTTATTTGAAGAGATACGTCAAAAACGAATACGGAATCGTGATCCTGAGGAAATTCCGCGTGAAATGACACCCAACACGGTCGAAAACGGACCAATTTTGAAAATTCAAATATTTGCCATTTTCTCGCTTATTTGAAGAGATACGTCAAAAACGAATACGGAATCGTGATCCTGAGGAAATTCCGCGTGAAATGACACCCAACACGGTCGAAAACGGACCAATTTTGAAAATTCAAATATTTGCCATTTTCTCGCTTATTTGAAGAGATACGTCAAAAACGAATACGGAATCGTGATCCTGAGGAAATTCCGCGTGAAATGACACCCAAAACGGTCGAAAACGGACCAATTTTGAAAATTCAAATATTTGCCATTTTCTCGCTTATTTGAAGAGATACGTCAAAAACGAATACGGAATCGTGATCCTGAGGAAATTCCGCGTAAAATGACACCCAACACGGTCGAAAACGGACCAATTTTGAAAATTCCAAAATTTGCATTTTTCTCGCTTATTTGAAGAGATACGTCAAAAACGAATACGGAATCGTGATCCTGAGGAAATTCCGCGTAAAATGACACCCAAAACGGTCGAAAACGGACCAATTTTGAAAATTCCAAAATTTGCTGTTTTCTCGCTTATTTGAAGAGATACGTCAAAAACGAATACGGAATCGTGATCCTGAGGAAATTCCGCGTAAAATGACACCCAACACGGTCGAAAACGGACCAATTTTGAAAATTCCAAAATTTGCATTTTTCTCGCTTATTTGAAGAGATACGTCAAAAACGAATACGGAATCGTGATCCTGAGGAAATTCCGCGTGAAATGACACCCAAAACGGTCGAAAACGGACCAATTTTGAAAATTCAAATATTTGCCATTTTCTCGCTTATTTGAAGAGATACGTCAAAAACGAATACGGAATCGTGATCCTGAGGAAATTCCGCGTGAAATGACACCCAAAACGGTCGAAAACGGACCAATTTTGAAAATTCAAATATTTGCCATTTTCTCGCTTATTTGAAGAGATACGTCAAAAACGAATACGGAATCGTGATCCTGAGGAAATTCCGCGTGAAATGACACCCAACACGGTCGAAAACGGACCAATTTTGAAAATTCAAATATTTGCCATTTTCTCGCTTATTTGAAGAGATACGTCAAAAACGAATACGGAATCGTGATCCTGAGGAAATTCCGCGTGAAATGACACCCAAAACGGTCGAAAACGGACCAATTTTGAAAATTCAAATATTTGCCATTTTCTTGCTTATTTGAAGAGATACGTCAAAAACGAATACGGAATCGTGATCCTGAGGAAATTCCGCGTGAAATGACACCCAAAACGGTCGAAAACGGACCAATTTTGAAAATTCAAATATTTGCCATTTTCTCGCTTATTTGAAGAGATACGTCAAAAACGAATACGGAATCGTGATCCTGAGGAAATTCCGCGTGAAATGACTCCCAACACGGTCGAAAACGGACCAATTTTGAAAATTCAAATATTTGCCATTTTCTCGCTTATTTGAAGAGATACGTCAAAAACGAATACGGAATCGTGATCCTGAGGAAATTCCGCGTAAAATGACACCCAACACGGTCGAAAACGGACCAATTTTGAAAATTCCAAAATTTGCATTTTTCTCGCTTATTTGAAGAGATACGTCAAAAACGAATACGGAATCGTGATCCTGAGGAAATTCCGCGTAAAATGACACCCAAAACGGTCGAAAACGGACCAATTTTGAAAATTCCAAAATTTGCTGTTTTCTCGCTTATTTGAAGAGATACGTCAAAAACGAATACGGAATCGTGATCCTGAGGAAATTCCGCGTAAAATGACACCCAACACGGTCGAAAACGGACCAATTTTGAAAATTCCAAAATTTGCATTTTTCTCGCTTATTTGAAGAGATACGTCAAAAACGAATACGGAATCGTGATCCTGAGGAAATTCCGCGTGAAATGACACCCAAAACGGTCGAAAACGGACCAATTTTGAAAATTCAAATATTTGCCATTTTCTCGCTTATTTGAAGAGATACGTCAAAAACGAATACGGAATCGTGATCCTGAGGAAATTCCGCGTGAAATGACACCCAAAACGGTCGAAAACGGACCAATTTTGAAAATTCAAATATTTGCCATTTTCTCGCTTATTTGAAGAGATACGTCAAAAACGAATACGGAATCGTGATCCTGAGGAAATTCCGCGTGAAATGACACCCAACACGGTCGAAAACGGACCAATTTTGAAAATTCAAATATTTGCCATTTTCTCGCTTATTTGAAGAGATACGTCAAAAACGAATACGGAATCGTGATCCTGAGGAAATTCCGCGTGAAATGACACCCAAAACGGTCGAAAACGGACCAATTTTGAAAATTCAAATATTTGCCATTTTCTTGCTTATTTGAAGAGATACGTCAAAAACGAATACGGAATCGTGATCCTGAGGAAATTCCGCGTGAAATGACACCCAAAACGGTCGAAAACGGACCAATTTTGAAAATTCAAATATTTGCCATTTTCTCGCTTATTTGAAGAGATACGTCAAAAACGAATACGGAATCGTGATCCTGAGGAAATTCCGCGTGAAATGACTCCCAACACGGTCGAAAACGGACCAATTTTGAAAATTCAAATATTTGCCATTTTCTCGCTTATTTGAAGAGATACGTCAAAAACGAATACGGAATCGTGATCCTGAGGAAATTCCGCGTGAAATGACACCCAAAACGGTCGAAAACGGACCAATTTTGAAAATTCAAATATTTGCCATTTTCTCGCTTATTTGAAGAGATACGTCAAAAACGAATACGGAATCGTGATCCTGAGGAAATTCCGCGTAAAATGACACCCAACACGGTCGAAAACGGACCAATTTTGAAAATTCCAAAATTTGCATTTTTCTCGCTTATTTGAAGAGATACGTCAAAAACGAATACGGAATCGTGATCCTGAGGAAATTCCGCGTAAAATGACACCCAAAACGGTCGAAAACGGACCAATTTTGAAAATTCCAAAATTTGCTGTTTTCTCGCTTATTTGAAGAGATACGTCAAAAACGAATACGGAATCGTGATCCTGAGGAAATTCCGCGTAAAATGACACCCAACACGGTCGAAAACGGACCAATTTTTAAAATTCCAAAATTTGCATTTTTCTCGCTTATTTGAAGAGATACGTCAAAAACGAATACGGAATCGTGATCCTGAGGAAATTCCGCGTGAAATGACACCCAAAACGGTCGAAAACGGACCAATTTTGAAAATTCAAATATTTGCCATTTTCTCGCTTATTTGAAGAGATACGTCAAAAACGAATACGGAATCGTGATCCTGAGGAAATTCCGCGTAAAATGACACCAAACACGGTCGAAAACGGACCAATTTTGAAAATTCAAATATTTGCCATTTTCTCGCTTATTTGAAGAGATACGTCAAAAACGAATACGGAATCGTGATCCTGAGGAAATTCCGCGTGAAATGACACCCAAAACGGTCGAAAACGGACCAATTTTGAAAATTCAAATATTTGCCATTTTCTCGCTTATTTAATAATAATAATAATAATAATAATAATATATTTATTTATCCAGCAGACTAATATATAGTCCATAGTGGATACAACCACAGGAACAATATTAAATTTACAATAAACACATAAACAATATTAAATATACAATAAACACATAATGCTCACAACATTGGTACACTTACACATGATTCAATTCCAACAATTGTTTCCTTACATTAGCTTTACTAAAATTATGAAAAAATAAATCTAGACGACCATCACAAACGGAATTATATAAGCGAAAAGCATATATCAATGGACAGTTATAATGATGAAAAGTATTGGGTATAGCAAAATAAAATAACTTTGGACATCGGCTAATTTGTCTTGGGATGTTGAATTTGATTTCATGGAGAAGCTCCTGACAACATATCTGACCTAAAGTGAGTTTTTGTAGAAAAATTAAACTAGCTGCATTTCTTCTTCTTATTAAAGGTTGTTCATTGACAATAGACAATAAGCTAGATTGATCACAATGTCTGCTTGGATACCTATTATACATTTTTAAAAATAAATACTTTGCAAATTTGCGCAAGACATTCTCTAACAAGTCAATATATTTTTGGTAATACGGCTTCCATACAATGCAACAATATTCCATTCTTGACCTTACTAAAGCATAAAAAAGTATTTTGATACATTGTATGTTAACAAAATCCATGGTGTTACGACGAATAAATCCTAGCTGTTGCATAGCAGTCTTGGTGACATGCAGGATGTGTGGGGCAAATGACAAACTACAGTCCATAACAACACCTAAATCAGATATCTGTTGACAATTCTCAAGTACATAACCATCTAAATTGTAATAATAGGAAATAGGTTCACGTGTACGAAAGAAGGTAATCTTTTTACATTTACTTTTGTTAATTTCAAACTTATTACTATTACACCAATGCAGTAACTTTTCTAAACTGGTTTGTAGCTCATAACAGT